CTTCCCTGATCTGAATTGTGAGCCGCCCTGAGTCCCCTTCGGGGGAAAAGGGTGGCATACAAATATAATAAATCAATCAATCAATTCCATCTTTCACTGCTGCAAAATGCAATTCTTAGCTGCTGTAACAGTGGTTTTCACATGTTTCATCATAGCCAAAGAAATTAATCATATATTGACATTCGAATAGACATGTCCTGAACCAATTTTTGTTCAAATAATTCCAACAACCAGTGCTTTTTGACTTTTTAAAAACTAGGCGTCTGTTTGAGGTTCATGAAAGAAACAGCAGTCTTTTGCGTAATCACTTTTGGTTGAATATGTTAATGTCTTCCCTAAATTTCCCAGTCTTAATTTCTCTGTCGCTTGTTAATCTCCATATGTTATTTTCCCGCCTTTGTCTGCCACCAGCTGCTCGTTTCCTAAGTTGCTCTGTGGCTGTAAGTAGACATTGTTAATGAGAAAAAGGAGACCCTCGTTCCTTAATACTTTTTTGTGAAGACATCAGTCGAAACTGTCTTCATCCATTCAGAGAGGAAGCCCACAGAGTAGAGCTAGACCCGGGGTGACAAACTTGATTTCATTGAGGGACGCATCAGGGTTGTGTTTGACCTCAGAGGGACCAGGGTGGGCGTGGCTAGGGTGGGCATGGCCAGCTCGACATCACTCGTGTCAGGGGTACCTGTGGTGGCCTGAATGCTCTGCCATCGAAAACAGGCTGCCCAGCTCTGTTTTCGGCTGCGACGGCCTCCTGCAACTTTCTGCCAGCAAAAATGGAGCTTGGGAGGGCTGCAAGCGCCATTTTTGCTGGCAGAGGCACCACAGGTTGGTCATTTGCTGTTTCCAGGGTGGCCCTGTGGGCCAGATCTAAGCACCCCGCAGTCTAGATGCAGCCCCTGGGCCTTGAGTTGGGCACCCCTGAGCTACATTGTTAATCCATCAGTGGATAAGAGATATGAAAATACATAAAAGTTGGCCAGAGATACTATTAGAGACTTGGAGATTGCTATCATACCTATTTTTTATTCATTTATTTATTCATTTATTTATTCACTTATTTATTTACTTATTTATTTACTTACTTACTTATTTACTTATTTATTTACTTATTTACTTATTTATTTTATTAGTTTGTCAAACGTGTACAAGATAGCTGGTATAAGTATGAACATGGACACGAATGAAAGAAATGAGTACAAATAAATAGGAGCAGTAGGACAGTGACGGTAGGCACGCTGGTGTGCTTGTGCACCCCACCTTACGGACCTTTTAGGAATGGGGTGAGGTCCACGGAAGACCGTTTGAGGCTGAAGCTATGAGGGTTTGAGGATGTAACAACGGAGGCGAATAGAGCATTCCAGGCATTGACCACTCTGTTGCTGAAGTCGTATTTTCTGCAATTGAGATTAGAGCAGTTTACCTTGAGTTTGTATCGGTTGTTTGCCCATGGGTTACTGCGGTTGAAGCTGAAGTAGTCGTTGACAGGCAGGACGTTGTAGCAGACAATTTTATGTACTGTGTTTAGGACCGACCGCAGGCGCAATAGTTCCAGATTGTCCAAGCCCAAAATTTCAAGCCTGGTAGCGTAAGGGATTCTATTGCGAGGAGAGGAGTGGGGGACTCTTTTCATGAAATACCTCTGGACCCGCTCGATCGTATTAATGTCCGATATACAGTGTGGATTCCAGGCAGATGAGGTTATAATTCTAGGTTTTGAAGAAAGGGGTGGCAAACAAATCTGTGGTTGGTTCAGTTTTCTTCCAAATGAAACTCAGCTAAACTATATAAATTTCATAGACAACTAAATAATAAAACAAACAAACAATATACCCATTTTCTTGGGTGTCATCAAGTTGGGCTTGACCATTGGTGGTTCTTTGGTCACAAACTCACCACCTTGCCCGCACCTTTCCAAGGGACTTCTAAGGACAGTCTTCTTGTCCTTTTATCTGCTTCCATCCACCTTATCTTTCCTTTCTTCTGTTGCCCTCAAGCTTTGCCAAGAATGAATTCTTTTTCAGTCCATACACAAAGCAGACAGGACAGCTGGGCCTCGACTTACAACAAACAGTTCATTTAGTGACTGTTTGAAGTTACAACGGGG